ATCTCAATCAAGCAATTTTTTCCTAATTAGGTCCGCCATCTTTGATCCGCCATTTTGAATTTTGGAAATCTGAGGTCATATACGTAATCAGCGACCCCGAAAACCCCCGAGTAATAAATTTCAACTGTTTTCCATGTAAAGAAAAATGTGTGCTTCAAAGGGTTAAAAGATAGCTCGTTTTATCGTTGCGGAATCCAACTTTTGCTAAAAAGATAAGAAAAATAATAGAAACGATGAAAAATATTTTAGTAAGGTGTATTAAATTAATAAGATGTATTAATTCATATTCTTATTGAAACAAATACGCTTTAAAAAAAAACGGCAAAAACTAAGTGTATCCTCTAATAGAACGTAAGCTTTATTAAAATGCAAAAGAAGTAAAAAAGTACACTCTAAGAATGAATGACTTTATCGAAATATTTTTACTATAGGCAGAAACAAACAAAGCGAAGACCACTTTTTATTTTTAAACTAAAGGCGATTGAAAAGAAATCAATCTTTTATTTTCATCAATGTAATATATATATTTTTCGCCTTATATATATATATATATATATATATCTTTATTATATATAATATATGTATATGTATCTTACCTGTTGGGGAAACAGATTTCTAGCTTTCATCATGAGAACCGTGAGCCTTTCGGCACTCGGTAAGTAAGACAGTGAGACCAAAACCTCTTGAATCTCTTCCGGCGGTTTGCGTTCTCTCGTTATCTCACCCCAAACTTCTACCGAAGAAGTGGAAGAGACCAATTCGAGGCTGTCCATGGCCACTCTCACCGAACCAACCACATCGTTCCTCGAAAAACGATCGTAATCGAATACCTAATGTAATTGCGTCATAATGTTAGTGATTTTGATTAAATTTGGGAATTGTGTTCTAGCCTATTTTACAAATCCTTTTATGCGATTTCCTAACTATGGTATGTAATTGCCTGCAAAACTAAAGTCTTCTCCTGCAGCTCTTCGTAGCTAACGGGAAATTTGAAACGCTGATCAAAAAACGGATTTGGATCGTTCCGGTGGATCTGCGTTTGTCTTTTCCTGCTGTCCACTTCCGGGCTGAGAGTCAACTTGACGTAAGGATCGTTGAAACCGCCCTGATCGCTGCCTGCGAGATCGTGCGCCTCGATCAAGTGCACGTCCAAATCTGATTTATCAAAGTCATATCTCAAGCGCAGATGAAGCCTACCCAAATGCTTTCCAGTCCTGCAATTACGCAAATATTACGCGATTTGTGTGGCTGGTACTATTTTTAGCAATAAATGGCATGTTTGTTACGTAGCAAGGGAAACCAGTTTAAGATCAGCAAAGTTTTATAAGCAAAGTTTTATTATGTACCTGCGAGCGCTGAGAAAAACAGGACCGTCACGTCTTTGATAAAGATCCGGTTGTAAAGAACCAAGTGGGGAAGCAGGCGGTATGGGGCCACCGTCGCTGCTGCAGAAAAATAAGCAATGTACACATTTTTCCAAATTTATGATCAAAATGTACTCTAAACACTAATAAGAATTTAATAAAATTTTAATAATTATTGAAAATAAATCCGGTGCGACGGTTTTTAATTGATGCCTTTACAGAAAGAAATTTTAGAAGCTAATATTACAATATATCAGAATATTTATATTTGGAGATTAATTTATAGAATTTTTATAGCTTTTTTATAGAAAAAAGAAAAGAAAAGTCTGTATTTATGAAAATTTTAGAATTTGTTCCATGGAAATAATGTAATACGTTTATAAAAATAAATTCTTTTGACACTTTCATTACGCGTTTACTTGCATTTCATTATACATATCTTTTTATATTCAGAAATGACGTTATTCACACTTTTATAAAGAGTTTAATATATTTATCATGTTTATGAGAATTCTATTATTTACCTTATGGAAGCACGTGGCGGTGGGATGAGAAGGGGTGATAAGCAACGACTGGTCTGTCTGGAAGTACTTTGAACGGCATTCATCGGCGAACACCCGCAAGTGGAACTTACACCCGTTGCTACGGACGACAAAGAGGTCTGTGAAGGCGACGCATTTCCACTGTGCAGGCTACCCATGTAACTGGCAGGACTTGCACAACGTGCATCCAAGGATGCTGCACGAGCTGGTGAAGGAGATCTATAGGAAATTTCCAAACATACACGTATTGTAGAAAAACAAGAAGAAATATTATTGAGATAATAATTATACATGTAATATTGTAATTTTGTACATACAGCTTATTGTTAGACAAATTTTTATCCGCATAAAAATTATGTAAGTAAATACGAAATTGTGAAAGCAAATGAACAAAATTTACAAATGGTTTAAGAATTTATGAATAAAAACAAATGTAGCTAATTTTATATTTTTTATGTTTTTTTATATTTTAATCATTTATTAAAATAAAGAAAAAAATATTATTTATTTTCAAATTATTAAATAACAATTAAACCATATTTTTCTGCACTGACCTCGAGCTTCTGCTAGGTGGATACGAAGAGGCGGAATGTAGAGGATCATGTCGAGCATGATGCCGTCCGTCCGGGCCAAACGCTCTGATTTGAGGCGATGATCCCCGGTGATTCGAAGAACTGGATGCACCCTCCAGCGAGCTCTGCGAGCTGACGGACGAGTTCCTTGCCAACGTTCGACCGCCGCTTCCGCCTCCGTCTGGATAACTGCGACTTTGATGAGGCAAGCCTCCAGGGGAAACGTATTACACAAAATTAAACGGGATGAAAAATTATCATGTTAATAACTTGAAGAGATCGCTCTAGAGAGCCTTTCAATTATGCGCAACGATGGTTTATAAATTTCTTCGTAATCGAGTTCCATCCGTGAGGATGAACGATGTGCCGAGTGCGCATCGATATCGAAAGAGAATTATCTCCACGGTTACATTCCAATACGTTGCTTTCGAAGAAAATTGTATTAAAAAGTAATAATAATAATAGAAAAGAGAGCAGTTCGTATTTTTGCAAGCAATTAGAATAAAAAACCCAAGCCAATTAAACGAGAAATTTTTTAGGTCACAATTTAAAATATCATTCATTCAAAGAATTAATTACATTAGTCTTGAAATTCTTGAGACGTTTCGAACTTTACTTAGTCATCTTCAGTCATATAATAATTTATTAATAAATTAAATAAGCAAGGAAAACAACAGAACAAAACAATAAGAACCACATCTAATAGATCAAGATATACACAATTATTTATATAAATAAATAGTGTACATGTTACATAAAATAAAATAAAAAAAATCGGAAATGTTTGTCCGGAACACTTCACAAGCGAAGAAGAATGGAGTCAGCAAAATAAAAATTGTCAAAATTTTGTCTATGAAATTTTTGTGTGCGTCCATAATGTCCAAAGGATTCAGATAAAAACTATAAAATTAATATAACGGAATGAACTATGTAAACAATTAAAAATATAAAAAATAAAAAAATAAACAGCAATTCAAATATAATAGGCTAATGGAAATCGGCGCGGTAATTATTGCGCAAAATTACAAATTTCAATAATTAACATAAGTTTATCCCGTGCATATAAATTAATATATTTCATTTAAAATCGAAACTTCTGGAAGCACACTCGACTTTTAATACTCATTACTTTTTTTTAAATATGTGACGACTTTTGAGACACAAATTTTTTACTTTCGCGTTGGAATAATTATTATATGTATAAATTGAAACACGATGGAAAAATAATCTAACCGATGTTGTGACTGCTACGCTTTAATATATCTATATGTATTATTGAAGATGGCCAGAAGAATGGAACTACTCTAACTGAAGCAGGAACTGGACTATGGATTTGGAAATATACTTATATGCACGGGTTAAACTTGTATTAATTATTGAAATTTGTAATTTTGCGCAATAATTTTGCGCTGATTCTCATTAGTCTATTTACTATTATATTTGAATTGTTGATTATTTCTGGGAATCTTTCTACTTTTTAATTTAAAAAAATAAAAATGTGTACATATGATGAAAAAAAGAATAAATTCATGACAAACTTATTTCTGATTTTACTATGGAATCACACGCAGAAAGATGTGTCTGATCTAATGAGTGCTTCGTGCTCATACGGATAATGATGATCAAATGAGAGCGAAAGTCGTTATACATAAATAATATGTCAGACGTTTTGTTTGTAATATTAAATGTCAAGGCTTTACAACTTATTAAAGAGTAAATCTAGTAAACAAAAATAGGAATCGTTGAGAAACTCAGTATTCTTCTAGAAATTGATTCCGTTATGTTGTTCTTTACTAAAGAATTATAGCATATAGCATATAGCATATAGTAACGTAAACTATAGCTTTTTAGTAAAATTTTCCTCGAAAACAACGTTTTAAAATGCAGCTTAAATGAATAACAAAGACGAAACAAAATGCATTAAATATGATTGTTAGCCAGAGGTTTTCGAAAAGAAATAGCTTATAGAACATCTTCATAAGCATTACGTATGGGGGCAAATTATCCCTTTGAATTAAAAAAAATATTTAGGAATCTATTATAAAAAAAATTATTAATAATATGTTTGAATTTTGCAACAGTTTAATAAAATTTTTATTTTTATTTTTTGTGCGCGCGGAAATGATGAAATCTATTACTGCTTCTGCCTGCACGTCTCTTCATGGTTTACATTCGTACAATAATTTAATCTAAAGAAAATAAAAAAACTTTTTTATAAAATAGCGTTGTAGTTATAGTGTTTCGAATCAAAATTAATTCTTATTTGAAAATAACTATTTTCTTTAGGTCATTAAAGATAGAATTGACATTTTCTTGAATTAAAATTGAATTAAAATCTAATCTCTTTTTATTTTATACTAGACATTACAGACGCGTGCTTTGCGTGTTTCATTTTTTACTTTCTACTTGTTTAAATGTATTACATTGTATTACAATATACAATAGGTATTACAATATTAACTTCTTGTTACGTACAACTGCCAAAATGACAGCACGTCATGATGACAGCTGCTCACAGCTTGCGAAGTAAATTACGCAATATATGAGAGAACCAATCAGAATCTTGGAAAAGAGCTTCAAACACTTTGATAAATGTATTGATTTAACATGCTTTTTTTAGAAAAAAAGAAAGACAAAATTAAAACAAAAGTTTTAAAAATGGTTCAAGAGAATGATATTAAGAATAACCATATAAATTTTTACTAAGAGATTAAATGATTAAAATATGACTATTGCGTAAACCTTGGCAAAATAGCTGTGCATGTTAAGAAAAATGTTTTAAGTTTTATGATAAGGATTTTCTAAAATAACATTTATTTAAATTTACCTTAATCAACAATAATAGGTGCCATAAATACTTTTTAGGATTATATATGCAGATATTAAAGAAACAATTTTTAAAAAATTAATTTTCTCCGAGAAAAATTTGTCTTTTTATTTAAAATCAAGGAGCTTCATTATTGAATAGCTTGATTGTTTTGTTTAAAGGTTTGATTATCATTTTCTATAAGCAATGCTAGACATAGTTTTCTAAGGATTGTATTAAAGGGAGGACGTAGAGGACCACTCAAATTACGTGTAACTCTAATTAAAATATTTGAGAACTATTGAAATCATTCATAATTACCCGATTCGGCTATCGACGGTTGTATCGCGTGCTGCTCCTTCGCGATGTTAAATTCCTGAAATAAAAAATTGGAGCAATTAGAATTCTCTTTAATATGCCAACAATAACTCTGATAGGAAGCTCGTCGGGCTTATTCAATCCGAACGTGCTTCACGCTTGTTAAATATTCGCCAAATAGATTTTTAATTAAGTACGGCAATGCATGCAGCATTCGAGAATTTTTCAACAAATAATTTCTGACATTTTTCTCGAATGAGAAATTCAGCTGGAATTTATTTGTGCAGAATATTTTTATCTACCTAAGTTCATACCATCGAAATAATATCGTTGCGCAAACATAAACTTTATATTTATGTTTATGAAAAAAATAATTTTGCTGGAAAGTTTAAAAATTTTGCTGGATACAGATCTGAAAATAATTTTATTGGATCATATCAAAATAATTTTATTAGAAATTCAAATTGGTTGCGAAAATATCAAAACCTTTTACAGTACAATACTCATCATTTATGAGTTTCCAACAAAATTATTTTCAGATCTCTGTTTCCACCAAAATTTTTAATAGATTTTTACCAGCAAAATAATTCTTTCCGTATAAAGTTCATTAATATTTTTATTTTGTAAAATTATTATTTAATTATCCCCCATTTCAACTTTGCCTGCTTTGCCATTGAAATAAAAAATCAACCTTAGCCTGAATGGCCCTAAACACGGGACTGAAAATCTAATCAACACATTAGATTGCCTTCTGAAAACTCTAAAAGTTTCTTATATACTTATTTTTTTGTAAAATCCGTTTTTTTTTAGTTATTTCAATGACAAAATTAAAATGGGTCACCTCGTATATCTATCAAACTTGTATAACATGGAACGTAATTGCGGAAAACCGAGACCTTATCAACCTAGTATAGAGTAGAGAAATACTTGCTTTTTAATAATTCTTCTTTGAGTAGTTAATTTACATTTAGAGTCTCATATTAATATATTAGTAAACAATGTGAAATACTAGCATAAAGCGAATTTTACATCTCTGATGGTGATTCCATGAAGGCGGATGATAATACTCGTATTCAAAATTTAACGGTAAATTACACGTTAATTGATTTGTGCTTCACCAACGAATTCATATAACGACGTGTATAGGTATATGCTTTGCGTATCGATGCATTCTCTCACATTGCCAAGGATATGCAACATTAATTACTCCTTGTTTTAGTCTGTACCCTTTATTTCTGCCCTTTTTGGTTTTGCTGCTGCAGAGAATTATGTCGATATTTTCCTCTACTAGTACTACATTTGCGTGCGCGCGCGCGTGCGTGTGTGCAATACGTGTGTTACATAGTGTCACTCTTCTCCGTGAAGGCAAAAGCAGCGTGCATTTTAACGATAATATGATACGATTTAATTGTAACTCCGTGAATATATGATTCGTCATATATGTTGCTTTACTTGTCAGCAGAATTAATGCTTTAATTAAAGATCGCTTGTTTTAGGAACTGAGAGTACTGTTGCAATAACGTTTATTTTGCGTGATGACTGTCTCTCTCGTGTGAAAAAGTTGGCTTTCTCGCAACGAATTAAATGGATAAAATTTGATAATATTGGATGGGGGAGTTGTTTCTAACTCGATTAATGAAATGTACATTTTGACTAACGTCTTACTTAAATATATAGAGAAATTCTTAAAATTGTAATTTGTACATGAATATCTAACATTTTTTCTTATTAAAAATGTCGAAATACAAACAGAATAAGTTATTAAAAAAGTTATAAAAATGTTTGCTAATTTTATCAATGTCTTGCACTTGCAAAAATATCTAGAGCGACAAATTGTGATATAATTATCAAAATAAAAAACATCAGGATAAAAATTTTTAAATACTTATGTAGGTACGTGTTAATTTACGAATACGTATATATTCAATAATTAACTATATCTCTTATTGCACATTTAGTGAAACACGCATGTATACATACACACATATGTAAGTATATACTCTTAAAGTACATGTATAAGTATATTTATGCGCGAAACAAGGACTTGCTTAGTTTTGTTTCAAATCTTTTCGTATAAATTAGTCTATTCGTGCAAATAAAAATAAATATTCGATATTGAAATCTCAATAACGGAAAATAAACATTTCTAAAAAAAAAACGGTACAACAATCATGTAAACAGAATTTAGTCTTCTTAAAGAAATGCCATTTTTATTCGATATAGGGTAGTCTCTTAAAGGTAGACTCTTGAGATGGCGAAGATAATCGAATGGTTTCTTTGAAGTTTCGAAGCGTCCTCCATAAGTCCTTGATAAGGACGAACCTTTGAATTATGAAGCCGAGGAATAGAAGAGAGAGGGGGGGGGAGAAG